TCATCCTTTCGTTGTTGAATAGCCATGAGCTTGCCAGATGTCCTTTGTCTCGCACTATTACTTATGTACTGACCTGTGAACAACTCCACTAGGGTCTCAAAGCAGTCAATTGATCCCGGCTCTAAGTTGGAGAACCAATCCGAGGCTGCGCCGGTAAGAGTCGTAGGGAAAACTTTACACCACACAGCATCGGTGTCTGTATACAGCAACATATGACTCTCAAACGCGGCCACATACCGCTTTGGATCCCCCTTACCGTCATACGTACAGGACGACATCTTTATTTTCTCCATTTGCTGGTCGAGTACCTCTTGTGTGAACGGAGATATTCTGGGCCTGATGATTGCCCTGACTGCCCGCCTTTCCGGGCCACTAGAGATCTCATGCCGATAAGAACCTGAATCTCCCACCTGGGTGCCTTGCGTGAGTTGGCGCTCGGTTGGTGTGGTCTCTTGGCCACGGCTTCTTGACAGTTGTTGTTGTCTCGCCTGGTTGAACTGACTCTCCAAATTGACTATCAGCGGCTTTGTCGGTACCTTATCCCGTATTCCCCCTGCCATTAAATCGGCTTCCTTTCTTTCGAAAATTTCACCCAATTGAGCACGCCTAGCATATTTTTTCACAGTAGCAGGATCACTATAACTGACTCCGTTTAGTTCGCCGCCGTATCTTAGACATAGCCCGCATGACCTTGGCCGTTATCTCCAGTTCCTCCGGGGTGAACCCCTCCAAGGGATCTGGGGTCACTGCTCTGCTACGATCAGGTGTTATGGGCCTATTCATTGTGTTACCGTGAAGGAGATGAGTTTCATCTTCGACCATAATTTCTGGTTCTATGGTTTTATTCGCGTTAGCAATACGGACACTGTTATCGTACTGCCGGTTATCAACTTCTGGCACCGGTACTGAAGTTCCCTTACTTCCTTCCATGACTGTGAGAGGTCCTGTTGGACGATAGAAGTTATTACTACCCCCTCCTTCTAGCGCCAATTGTTCCTGCTGGATTATGCTTCCGTTAGTGTCTGAGGGCTGGTAATGGTTTACCGTCCAATTGCTCACCTACACAGCCAATACAGATTAGCTAGCCCGGGGGTTATCCGGGAATAACCACTCCGATGCTAAAGTTAGTACCTTTGTGAGAAGAAAGTGAAAGAAGAGAGAGAAAGTGTTTTAGAGAGAGAGAGATTCTACCTTTGAAATGAGGATTTGTTTGGGTATTTATAGGAACGCAACCAAGCAGGTGCCACCTATACAGATAGGTGGCACACCGACCTTGGTACTAGCAGGTGCTTACGCGGCACTAAGCAGCTGTCCACGTGTCAGTGGGACATGCCACGTTCCGAGAAGCAGCTCTCCACGTGGTAGAGCCTAATGCCGGTAAGGACATGAATTATTCCAGGATTAACCATTTCTGTAAACTGCACGGCACTCTTTTACCGGCATATTATGATACTACCGGTATATCCCGTACAGAAACAATGGTAGCACTACGATTGTTACCATACTACTTTGGAATGGTTCCCGTATCCCTCCACCCCCCAATGTAGTATTTATTTTCATTGACATTAGGGCTTGCATTTGAAGTTTTTCTAGTGTTCTAAGGTTAGTCAATGTAATACTCCGTATTTTTATAATATTTATATATATATAAATTATTTATTTTATAAATTAAAATGATTCATTTCATTTTTAAAAGAAATTAATTATTTAAATATTATGTAAGTGTGCATAAAATAATATGAGTCATTAATTGAGGCAATAAAAGTGTTTTGAATTGGGTCATCTTTATTTTAATAGTTGGATCAACTTGTTGGGGAATTGATGACACTTAAAAGCCCAACAAGTTGGCCTCAAAGAAAGAAGTCAACGGGGAGTAGGATTTAGTAATGACAATTTTGTAATTATGAGTTTTTTGTTTTAAAAGGGGAGTATAAATACTTCAAAGCCTCAAGATTTTTCATTCTAAAATCATAATTGTCAGATTTCACAAAAATTCCAAAGGTTTTCTCTTTATTTTCTCTCTCCTCCCTTCCCCTTATTTTTCCTCTCTTTTTCTCTTCTTTTTCCTCTCCTTCCCCACGCCCCTCTCCCTCTTCTTCTCCCCTCACACCGCCGACCACCCTCTCCTTTTTGTATTTGGTGTTTTGGTATTATTATAAATAATAAAAAATAAAAATAAAAACTCTTTTTCTCTTCCTAATTTTTGATTATATTGTTTTTATTAATTTAACATGATTTTGATTGTGTTTTGGTATTGATTTTGGGTATTTGATGTTGTTAAATTATTTATATAATTTTTAGATTTTTATTCAATCAAAAACTCCAATTTACAAACCCTAGAATTTGGGATTTTAATGTTTATGGTTAGGGTTTGATCCTAGGTTATTGTTGTTGTTTAATTAATGGTTTAAACATGTTTTTAATGAGTATAAAACCCTCAAATTAATGCTGAAATTTATATATGCACACTACTTTTTAATTATTGAGTTAGGGTTTGATTACCATGAAAGGGGAAAAGGTTTTATTGATTTAAATATGATTTCCTAGTCTATTAGTGATGTTTTATATTAAATAAATATGCTGGAATTTTATTTAAGTCATAAAAGTTGAGTCTTTTTGAAAGGATTTGAAGTACCCACTTAAAGAAAATGTTTTATGGCTTTTATGTCATTAAATCGGGTTAATTAGTAAGGTTTAAAGTGTATTATAGTTGCTGGAAATTTGTGAGAATAGTAGATTAATTATAGTTATGTATTCTTATTTGTAGGAAGTTTCGAGCTAGGTGATTTCTAGCGAGTGTGGCCGAGTGTAGGCATTATTCAAGGTACGTATGTGCACAAGAATATTTGTGTATGCGTAGTATCATGCTAGGATTTGTGAAGTATGATTTAAGTGATGAATTAGTAGCATGTTTGATTGATTGTATGCTTGGAATCGATGTTGGTTGAGCATGAATCTTTATGCAAGCATGTGAATATGTTAGTTGAGGCATGATACAAGAAATATAAATATGTATGAGTCATGAAAGTATGTTTTATTTTCAAGTATCAAGAAGACATGTATTTAATGAGCAAGGCTTATATACGAATTAAAGAGCTAAAGTTAGAATTATTGAGCATGATTCATGAATTTATTTCTCACCCATTTATTATTGGTGTTGAGTCAAGAAGTTAATTTAATTATTTATTTACTCACTCATGTAAGTTGAGTTTGAGTCAAGGAAGCTTAGTAGTGCATTTTATGCACCAAAGTAGTACGTAATCGTGTAATTTTGTGCACAAAACTAGGCAAGGAACCTTAATTAAAATAAATAGTATGTGATCACTAATTAATTCAAGAATGAATTGGAAGTATGTATTGATTGTTATTATGTTTGTTCTTGATTGATTGGTTTGAGTCATCACAAGTTAAATTGGTAAATCACGTAAAGTGTAAGAGGATACGCACCAAAACTCTTGGAACGTATATACCTTGAGTATGAACATATGGGGGGAGTTATGGGGTTTTATATTAAACCATAGCTTCTATAGGGGTACAGGACGCTGTACTTTCTTTTATTATTAATGCGCTGGAATTCCTTCACCAAGTGTGACATAGTAGGTGTCAATTAGGGTAGCTCCCTGATTGGAAGCTCAATATTTAAATGGGCTATTTTCAAGGAAAGAAACTCGTTCGATGCATAATCCAAAATTATTATTAATAATTAATATTGCTAGTTATGAGTCAAAGGTAAGTTGACTTGTGATTGTGTGGCGAGCATGTTTTAATTATTATTTTTATTTTGATGCTAGGATATTCATGTTAGTATGGTGCATGTGTACTCAACTTTGCTGATTCGTACTTTTGTGTTTGTGTTTGGCTTTACTTTGGATTGGCCCTACTATGACCCATTTTTATGGTGAGTAGAGAGTTGAAATAAAGAGGAAGTAACAGGTACTTGAAGCATGAAGAGCATGATGGGATAGAGTGCAGAGAGTTACTTGTTATGTTTCTTAGTTTTAATATTTTTTGAATTATTGTTTTGTTTATGGACTAACATTATTATGTTTGTGTTTAATTAGTTTTAAGAAGGGCCATATGTTTGAATTGGTTCCAACTTGTGAATGGTTTATTCTACTTTTGTTTTGAGGTTGTGTACTCAAGTTTTAAGTTTTATTTTAAAAGTTGGGTTTTGTTTTAGACTTCCGCTGTGAGACTTTGAAAACTAGCCTTAGCCGTTATCACGGTGACGGTAATATTTTGGTTATTTCCTAAAAAGGGTTTTATTTAGAGTAAAATGAGTATTTTAAAGGAAGGAAATTTCTAGGGTATTACAGTCAAGCTCACGATATAATAAAAAACCAATAAATCATTACGTCGTTAATCAAACTTTCATTATTGCCCCCCTTGCTCCAAGGAAATGCAAAATTTGTTAACATCACACTTTTCAACATGCAATCTCTGTTACCAGCATCATTTATTTTTTTATGGAGAAAAATCACGCAAAGTAATTTTAAAAAATACTCTGTATTTTTTTTTTGTTGAAGTGAATCAAGAAAGATCTAACAAGATCAAGTAAATAGCCGGACTTACCAACATGCAAGGTTCTTTATCCATTTTTATTAGTTTTTCCCAATTTGACTAAAAAAATTATCTCAAAATGTGGAGAATTAAATTAAAGTAAGTGATAAATATAACGAGAGAATACATAAAATCTAATAAGGAGTACATTACAAGGGGAAACAAGGGCTATTGATATCCAAACAATTTTTACTAAAATAACCTTTTTGTATGAAGGTATAAAACCCAAATAGTTAACCTGAGAATACTATCGATTAAGCCAACAAAAATCTCAAGTTCGACAACATTATATGCAGGATTGCACACACTAGTAGAAAAAATGCTATTTGTAACACCCTTATAGTAACTAGCGTTAAAAACGTTAGTTACTAAAACACCACTAGTAACTGGCTAAGATAATGTCAGTTACAAATAATATGACATTAGTAACTGGCCTTGTAGACGATGGTTACTAATTTGAAATTTGAGAAGGTTAGAAAATCTATTAGTAACCAGCCCATTAAGTGTTGGATACAAATTTTGAGTCAAATAAAATTTCTTACACAATATTTATTATTTTCTTAAAAACCTAAGTACTGTAGTTTTTTTATTCTTTTCACTTACGTTTTTGACTTAATGAGTTCTAATACTGTATACTCCTTTATCTTCCAATATCTTCTCCTTTTCCTCAATAAAACTAAACGGTTGAAATTCTCAATCAAAATTGCTTTTTGTTAATGAAGAATGATATGAAATTCAGCAAACGTGGGCTATATTGAGGTTAAAGGTGTTTCGGTTGAAAACAATGGGACCTTGCCGAAGGTCCACTAAAATGGAGAAGACTGGATTCGATCCAAGCTGTGTTGGGCCGAAGGTTTCCTGCACAGTGAACACACGTAAACTAGCCTCGGGGGTGTTTCCGAGGAAGGCCCCTCCGATGCTAAAGTCAGTACAATGTGTAAAAAGGAAGACACTATGCAAGAGAGTTTGTAGCTTGAGGCTTTTGTGGAGTATTTCTCAATGCAAGAATGAGCATATGAGTTGGAATAATCCGTGTATGAGATAATGTATGTGATGATGCATGTGTTGTTGTGTCTCGTATGTGATGTTATGAGATGTCTTATGTAAGAATATGACTCTCTCCTTGAATGTGTTAATATGAGGGCTTTTATACCTCATCATATTTGGAGAGGTTGGGCTTTAGCCCAATTGGCTTACTTTGTGGGCTGACTTTTGACTTTTGAGCAATTGGAGAGTTGAACCTTGACCTTGGGCTTTTAATTGGATCATTTAGTGCTCAGGCCCAATTTTGACTAAATTGGACCCAAACAACTTGCCCCCCAGACCCGATTCGGAAGAATGACGGGTCGGGTTTGATTTAACTCAGAAAAGGAGGGAAGTAAATGATTTAATTGATCCAAAAATTTGAATTTAAACCGTAATTAATGAGATAACAACGGTTAATGATTTGCGGAAGTTGGACGGATAATGGGCGGTTTAATCACAAGACATGTGTTTAATGGTTACTTAGTGGGTACTTAAGAGAAATTAAAGCACAGACTCTTCGTATCCCGTACCTGGAGATATAAACAGAGGCGCGTCATTCTCCTCACTGATTCACCAACACAAACCCAGAATTCTTCGAGAGAGAATCCAAGAATCCGTATCAAAACTTCGCAAATTCCCCCGAGCATTGAGCTTAGAAGCTGAGACTTGCCACTACGAACTCGTAAATCGGCAACTTTCGCTTCAGATTAGGTAAATTCCTTTGATTTCAGTTTATTTTTCTTCGAATTCGAACTCCTTCCCCTCTTCTTTCGACTTTTCTCTTCGAAATAGTCCATGGCAAGAGGAGTTAGAGGTAGAGCCCGTGCTCCAAGAAGAGCAAGGCCGATTCCCGATCCTAGGAATAGGATTGGGACCTGGAATGGTCGAAGGCCGGAGTCTGACCCTGCTGATGGGATTAGGGCGACTCCCCTTTCCTCGGCTCCTCCTCAAAGAACGGATGAGCCGAGTGCTTCTGGACGGGACGATGAAATTCCCGCTGTCCTTTGGGATATCCTCCCTGGGTTTTCAGAGTGGGAGAATGCCGAAGTCGCTTCGGCCATGATAAAGAACCGCCCCTACTCATGGTGGGTAGAGAACGCCGATCAATATCGATTTGCCGAGCAAATTGAGTTGCACTACGGCATTTTTGAAGCTGATGGATATTGGTGCCGAATGCCCTCAGCATCCGATAGAATCCATCGTCCACCCCCGGGGTATGTGGGGGTGTACACGAGACAGCTTCAGTATGGGCTGAGGTTCCCTTTGGACGTTTTCGTCCGAGACTTGCTGATCCATTACAACATTTCCCTATGTCAGCTAACCCCCACCAGCATCCGAAGGGTGATGACATACTTATGGGTCTGCAAGTTCTTCAGATACGTGCCGAACCTGCACTGCTTCAGAAAGCTCCATCGGCTAGTGCCAAATATTCAGAGTGGGCACGGAAGCCATGGTTCTGGGTGGTATCGGATTGAGTCCCGGCCCCAATATTTGACCATGTGGCCAAATGACTCTTCAGACAAGGACTGGAGAGGTCAATGGATTTGGGTTAGGGCACCCATAGATCCGGGCCACCCTTGTGTCTTCAGCGCTCCCCGGTACTTAGCTGAGCCTGATCCCGAAATGGGAAGTCTAGGTCCCCCCGCAGATAACGGGGCGGATCCGAACCTGGATCAGCAACATATCTTCGGCAAGCTGCCGAACCCGGGGGGGAGTGGTCGAATGCAGCATATCCCGGAGACTTGGCTCCCCGATACGCATTACGTTTTCCAAGAGAATATGCTAGCAGCTGTTGGCCTCAGCCGAAAGTTTAAGGATGGTAAGCTTCTTCGGCTGGGGCCGAGGCTTTTTAACTACCTCTTTTTCTTCTCTCGCTTTGCTTTTTTATGCTGTGCCAACATATCTGAGCTAAACTTTTTCCCTTTCCTTTTTTCAGAGCGAGACGAGACCAACGTTGGTATTAACTACGCTCGTCTTGGTGTTAACCGAGAGCGAGTTGTAACTGAACGGGCCCCGTCTATCACTGAGCCGAGGCATAGGGAAGTTCATCTGGACTCTTCCCACTTCCAAATTGAGGCTGTCGCTCTGTATCAGAGGCAGAAGCCTTGGTGGAAGAAGAGAGACCCTTGGTTTCAGCTGCTGAACGAAGAAGCTGAAGCTGCCCGCACAGCCGAAGAGGTTGCACGGGTACTTGAGGCTTGTGAAGGAGGAGAAGGGTCCTCCAGAGCTGCTGAAGCCGAAGCTGCAGCTAGAGCAGCTGAAGAAGACGAGGCTTTGCTGAAGACCTCGGTGAGCTTTCAGACAACTTTTTTCTTTTCTTCTTCTTCTTTTTTTTTTTTTTTTTTTTTTTTTTTTTTTTTACTCACACTCTTCTTCCCCCCTGTCTGTTACAGTCTGAAGAGAGTAACAGACACAGAGAAGGCAAAGCTCCTGTTCGTCCCGAAGATCAAATACAAGAGTCTTCAGACTCAGATATGGACGAGCAGCCTCTTCTGAAAAGGCGCCGAAGGATGGCCATCATCGGCCCTCATGACTTTCAGCAGAGGCCGATGACCATCGGCGTCGCAATAAGGGAACCTGAGGAAGGCAATGGATCGCCGAGGGTTCCCCAGCCAACACCCCAATCTCCTCAAAAGACCCCTCCGCCACCTCCTGAGATGGAGGTGGATCAGAGGACTCCCGAACCTAAGGGAGGGGTCCAAGAAGAAATCAAGGAGAGTGCTGCTGAGCACGGAAATAAAGATGCCGTGATGTCAAGTGCTGAAGGCTTCACGGCAGATATCGCAAGAGAGGTTGAGGCTTTCGTCCTCACCCCTGAAGAAGAGGAGGTCATAGTACTTGACTCCTCTGAGAAGGACGATGCTGAGACAACCAAAGCTAATCAAGCTCCATCGTCGTCCTTCCCTTCTTTCCAGACTCTGCATTCTGGAGAAATGGGTTTCTCGGCCCCCCGAATTCCAATCCCAGATCACATCTGGGACCTCATATGGGGTCAAAACCGAGAAGGAGCTGCAGCCTACTTCGGCAATTTTGCTGGCATGTCCGAAGTAGACAGGGCAAGGATCTGGTCGCTGAAGGCCACTGCTGGGATGGGCGAATCCAGTAGATCAGTTCCTGACCCAGCCAGGTCTAACCAACTGCTGATGATGCAGGTAATTTTCCTTCATTTCCTCCGAAATTCAGCTCTATTTTTTTTCTTATTACTTATTTTTTTTTGTCTTCCTGTTTTCAGTTCGTGCACAATCAGACTCTCACTGTAGAGCTGATTGATACCCTACAAGATAGGGTAGACGCTGCTGTGCACGAAAGGAAGGTGGCTGAAGAGGAAGTTAAGCTTGCTAAGCTGAAGCAAGCAGCAGCTGAAGAGAAGCAGCAGGAGGTTGAGGAGTACGGTAAAAAAGCTGCCGAAGCTCTGAAAACCTTCTGCGATGCTATGGAGATGGAGGTTTTTCCCCCACTGATGGAAGGGGAAAAATTCCTCCAGGAGCATATGGGAGTGGACGTCTCCAAATTCAAGGCTGCTATTGAGAGCCGAATTCAAGAAGGAACTGCTGCACAAGCTGAAGTGCAGCAGCGTCTAGAGGCTCTTGAAGCCAGCCGAATGGCTGCTGAAGAGTTGCTCTTGGCCAAAGACGTCCAACTCTCAGAGGCTGCTGCTGCTGCTGAAGCTCAAAGAGCTAAATTCCAAGAGGCTGAGGATCAACTGCTGATCCAGAAAGTTGAAGTGGCCCAAGCTCAGACAAAGGCTTTCCAAATTCAGCAAGAGCTGAATGAGCTGAAGGGTTCCTCCTCCAAAGTCGCTGAACAGCTGAAGAAATCCAAGGAAGACTTGGAGGAGACCCAGAAGAAGCTGGCTGATGCTGAGGCTTTACTCAAAGTCCGTGTTTACACCCAAGAGGAATATGAGATGGGTTTCAGAAACGGATTCCGAGTATGCCGAAGACTCTGCCTTCATGCTGAGCCGAAGCTGGACTGGTCTAAATGTGCTGAGTGGGTCCAGAATCCCGAAGACCCTCACATGAAGTATGCAACTCCAGCTGAAGCTGAAATTCTTAAGGCTGAGGAAGCCGAAGAGGAAGCTGAAAGACTGGAGTTGGAAGCTGAGCAGAGGGAAAGGGAGGCTCGGCAAAGTGCAAAGCCCGCCTCTTCTGCTGCTGGGACTGAGGCCACCATGGGACTCAACGCTGATCAGTCTGATCCTCCGGCTGAAGCATAGGAACTCGGGCAGTCGTCTTCAGAATCTTGCGGTTCATCATGTGCTTAACTTTAGACTTGCCGCTTTCTGAGTTTTTTGCCTTGTTTTTTGCTTCAGCTTGCCTTGTCGTACAGCAGTTTTATTTTTTTGCTTATGTACGTATTTCGGCAGCTGTTATTTTCCGCTTGTGGGCGGCTGCCGATACTGAATTATTGAACTTGTAGCTCAAAAATTTTTTCTTCAGTTGCTTTATTTTTGAATGCTTTACTGTTTCTTTTCTTCAACTCTGCCGAACATAGCTGCACTGCGTGCTTCTTGCCCCCACAGAAATTGAAGTATGACTTTAGTTGAATAAGCAATTTCTGAACTTCTTCAAAATAGATATCCGAAACACAGGGCCAACTTAAGGCAATGCTTCTGGGATACAAGTCTTACTGAAGATTGACTGTCTGAAAGTTGGATATCCGAAACACAGGGCCAACTGAAGGCAATGCTTCTGGGATACAAGTCTTACTGAAGATTGTCTGAAAGTTGGATATCCGAAA